TAACAGTGTCTGTATCTCTGTGTTCAGTGTGTGTCTGTGATTAACAGTGTCTGTATCTCTGTGTTTCAGAGTGGCAGTGGCTGTGCAGTGCTGCAGGTAGGTCCCATCTGCTGTTGAAGACAGACACAGTAAACCTTGCTGTTGTGATACACAGGGGCTGTTTTCTGGGGTTATTGAATACAGTCCCAGGGCTATATGTATTGGTCCCAGAGGGTTTGTGTTCCTGCGACATGGGTAATAATTTGGAGTCTCCTCTTCCTGGGACAGGAGTGACTTTGGGGTCTTTCTGTTCTGCCCAGCTGGTGTTCTCATAAGGTCCTGGACATTAACTGATGCAGTGGTTTGTTTAACTAAGAATGACACCGGAGTGTCAATATTATTTCACTGTGTCCTCACAGACAGCCGCTCCTGTGGAGTGAGTGAGTGAGTGAGTGATGCAGTATCCTGTTCTACACGGAAACGGTGTGAAGTTTCAGTGGAAGAGGATGCCTTGTCAGTATCAGGGCCAGGCTGACATTCCCCCTCACGTCCAGCAGAGGGTGCACCTGATCTTCATGGAATAACTCGCAGGACTGTCACTAGTCACCTGGACATGGGGACTCATTCACTAGAGCTTCCTTTGGGTTATGAAGCATCTACAGAATAAGATGTTTAGGTAGGGTGTTTAGGATCTGCCACATGTCCAGAATGCGTGCTAATGTATTCAGATGCATTAATCAGAATAACGATAGGTGCAGACATTAAGAGAAGCTGTTGAACTTTAAAGTGCTTCTTAACTTCAATGCAAATTAGTACTGATGAGACCCGGGTGAGGTGAGCGACCCTCTCCTGTTTATAAAGTTGGTTCCTCAGGGATCCCCATTACATGGGGTAAGGAGGTGTTAAAAGTATTATGTTGAATTTAAGAATTCAAGAACAGTTACAGAGTAGAAGAGGTCATTCTGCCCTCCAACCCATTTGATCACTAGTTACTAATTGGTCTCAGGTTCTCATCCAGCTGTTTCTTGAGAGACGTCAGGGTATCGGCTTCAACAACATGACTGGCAGGTCGTTCCACAGCCCCATCACCTTTTGTGTAAAGCACACAAAAGCAGCTCATCTGGGATCGAACCCGGGAGAAAGAGCCATCCCCCTGAGACCAGCGAGCTGCACCAGTCTGGCTCAACTTTCTGGACAGAAGGTGTCCAAAGTGTGTTGGTGGGCATCGACTGTCTTAGGCGGACTGTCCCTTAAAGACTGACGAGACCCTCTGACACCTGTATAGTGTGTGGACGGGTGCTCACATACCTCTATAGTGTGCGGACGGGTGCTCACACCTCTATAGTGTGCGGACGGGTGCTCACACCTCTATAGTGTGCGGACGGGTGCTCACACCTCTATAGTGTGCGGACGGGTGCTCACACACCTCTATAGTGTGTGGATGGCTGCTCACACAGCTCTATAGTGTGCGGACGGGTGCTCACACAGCTCTATAGTGTGCAGACGGGTGCTCACACACCT